ATTGGTCAGCCGGTTAGCGCGGTCGATGCTAATAATAAACACACACACACACACTCGGTCCCGGGGTCCCAGATTGTGGACCACAGAAACATTTTGTGTTTCCCGCCGCACTGAGACTGACGTCTTTTGGTCAGCCGGTTAGCGCGGTCGATGCTAATATTAAAAGCACACACACACACACACGAATTTTGGCCCCCTTCCAGGAACCTTGATTTTTACCCGCTGGCACTGACGTCTTTTAATTGGTCAGCCGGTTAGCGCGGTCGATGCTAATAATAAAACACACACGCACAGATGAACAAATGGAAAATGGATGTGATATGCATAGACTAGACTATGCATAAAATACTTTGAAGATTTCGCAACCCGTTGGGTTTTGCTTTGATTTTGAGGAAAGATCTGCGTGGCGTTCGCCCATCCTTCGATACCTTCGAACGAAGCCCATACTGACACTGGTGATGCGTAGTACAGTAGGTGGAGACACAAGACACCTTATTTATCACTGCATGCTGTACCTTCATTTTTTTCTCGGGCGTCCCTGAATCGTTTTTCTGCGCACGCCTTAGCTTGCCCTTCGCGAACGCTCCAAATGAATAAACATGCGGCATCCTCCGTGTCCAAATTGATGGTCATGCTTGTGCGTCAAACACACGTTCGCTTGGGTTAAACTGCCGCCCTCCCACATAAGTAACTTTTCGCCTAGCCGAACACCGTTCTTCGGTGTATATCAAGTAAGTTTTCCTGTAGCGCACAAGTCACTAGTGGATCACTTAGTGCCGACCACGGAGACCAACTTCCCAACAGCCCCACCCGTACACGATACATGCCCGAAATGCTCTCCGTCTTGAATTGGAAGCTAAGGAAATGATGCGAGGGTCGCACAGGAAAAATATCACCGTAAAGCCCAAGGCGTACGCATAGTAACCCATCACCATATATATCCCCCACTAGATGGAAGCGACACTACGGCAAGGATTAGAGCCCAGAAACGGCTTGATTGATATGAAACCATGAAATTAGAGTATAGTCTATATGTAGTCTACACAACACACATCGGATCGACTAGCAGTTTCAAAAAATGCACGCTGGTCAGCTTTCTGAACCCCCGATCCGCACATACATGTGTTCCCACACGCAAAGGAAAACATGCGTACACGCGTTGATGCCTACCTGTTGCTAGCGTACAAACGAGCACATGCATATATGAGGCAACACCCAGAGAGTCACTCAAGCGCCTGCGTTGACTAAATGAGCCCGGTCAAATCGTGGCCGGCCGGACAGTCAAAAGCAAACAACAAACACCAGATACGACTTATTCAGGCCCTTGTCAAGCTTGCCCACATGCAAAACTTCGTTTCACACTTCAGAATTTCTTAAAAACAACTTTTTTCATTCAGTACCAGGTGTATCGTTTCTTGGCAGAACCCACCCCGGCGGGTCGTCAAAAATGGACATACCTATCCTGTCTACCGCTGAACACGTACCTTTGGAGAAAAGAAGCAACCAAAATCTATGTAGGATCCGAATCTTGTTCAGAAAGAGGGATGATGATGCCAACCTTACATCCAAGCTTCAGTCGATAGGTCACCAGACACCACTGCATGAATGGAACATAAAGACAACTTACCTCATACGTATGCGGGCCAACAAAGTTGGACACCCAACCAATGAGCTGCTCCCGACAACCCTCCGCCGAAAGCAACGGCTGCTGGGCCTACTACACAGTCATCGACCGGTCTAGAGCGCCACTCCTTGGGGGACGGAGGCAGTTGCCGGCTCGGCCTTGGTTTTCTTGCGAGCAGGGGACGTTACCGCCGCCGCCGCCGCTGCCACCGCTTCAGTCACATCTCCCAGAGGTTCAAGAAACCCTTCGCCTCGCTTGCTCTTCTGAGAGAGCACGGTCACAGTGCTGCCGTTACCGTTGCCGCTACTGCTGTTCATGCTCTCCGCCTCGGGAAGATTCTGCGGGACCCCCTCGTCGTGCCCCCCCCCAGACTCAGCTCCGGTCGCCCGACCCCTCTCGGCCATGCCGCCGCCGCTGCTGCTGCTGCTACTGCTGCTGCTGCTGCTGCTGCTGCTGCTACCCTTCGGCGCATTCCCATTGCCCTTCTTCCTCTCGGTATCGGCCGCACCAGGGGCCGACGCACCAGGCGCCGACCCGAGACTATCAGCGGAGGCGTTTCCTGCGACCGCTGCACCACCGTCTAAGCCGGTCGCCTTGAGGCCCGTCTTGGGGGCATCCGAGGTTGGAGAGGGCAGAGACGGTGGCACCGCCGCCGCCGCCGCTGCTGCTGCCGGTGGCGCCCGTGGGATGACGCTGTCCAAGTAAGGGCAGCATTCCACCAGCATATCCCGCTGCTCCTCCTGGGGACAGCAACAGTAACCGTGACGTCATGTGCCCAACGGTGGTCGGCAACTCATCAATAGTTTTGTCGAACGAGTTCTTAGTTTAAGGCATGTACGTGGTGACACGGGGGAAGCTGGTGTCGATGGGCACATCATACAGCCGACGAATACGTACCATGTGATACAATATTGGGAGGCTCTGGGTCACAAATAGAGGGTGGGTGGAACTGCTGACGCCGGAAGGTGACTACTAACGCGAACCCGATCTCAACCCTCGACTACCTGTGCGGTACGATTCGGCAAACTCGGCAGTTGGCCACACATACTCGATCAGAAAAACATGAATGAAGGATCCAATGTAAACACCAAGACTGGTAGCAAACGAGGCAAGCTCATGATACTTTGTGAGAAACAAATGCCCGATATGTACAACAGGTACACAAGCCTACAATACAGACACCGAGATGTTGACACATGTCCACCTCCAAGCGCCGTTGAACGATCGAATCCCAAAGCAACGGAACCCATCACGCGTGCACGCTACTCATTCCCAACAACAAAACGCACCGGGGTCGCAAGCAGGTAGCGCCACCTCAAGAGGTCGTCCCCCCTAAACCTGTACACCATCCTGGCAAACTCATAAGAGACGGGGCTGGACCACCTGTCCCGAGTGCTTGCAGTGGCGGTAGATTGAACGATTAAACCCCGAAGTAACGGATCCCATCAGGCGTGCACGCCACACATTCCCGACAACAAAACGCACCGGGGTCGCAAGCAGGTAGCGCCACCTCAAGAGGTCGTCCCCCCTAAACCTGTACACCATCCTGGCAAACTCATAGAGACGAGGCAGGACCACCTGTCCCCAGTGCTTGCGGTGGCGGTAGGTCCGGCAGTCAAGCTCCACCCGGGACACTAGCACATCGTCTGCCGTCGCTGTAACTGCCGTCGGCGCCTCTTTCCTTGGAACTCCTCTTTTGCCGTTTACGCGGCCAGCACTGGTCTTGACGAACTGCACCAAGTCGCCGACGCTGGCCCCGATCATGAGCATGTACGTCTGCCAGCCATGGGTTGGGGGGACAAACGATACACGAAACTCGTTAAGCACACAAGAGAGACAAAAAGGGAAAGAGACTGCATCGACGAAGGTCCTCGTGTCTCGTGCGATGATTTGCTGCGAGCCACATCACACAACGATTCTCCGGCACTTGGACGACCAGCAACAGCGGGTATGATACATGCTACACTCTCCCCCCATAATTGACTCACCACAAGCTGGATCTGGTCGTAGAGTGGAGGAGGATTGGTCGCCTTGTACATCCTATTCTTCACTTCCACCACCACCCGCCTGGTCTCCCAACTCTCGGCGTCCTCGGGGGCATCGGTCACCTCCTCGGCGACACCGTCCACGGCTCCCACGACCACAAAACACGCCTCCTTCCTCCTCTCCCTCATCGTCTTCGACCCCCACCCGGGAGCACTCCTCGCTGATTCCTCCTCCATTCCCGCAGCGCTACCGTTACCGCCGTCCTGGGGTCCTACCTCACATGGCGGCGGGCTCACCGCCTCCGTATCTCGGGTCCAGACCGACCACTCCTCTTCTTCCGGCTCTTCTTCTTCTGCTGCCGCTTCGTCTTCTTTCTTTGGTTTGGATGGCTCGACAGGGCCCTCCCCCCACGCGTAAACCGCGTCGCCCCCGAAGGTCTCCAAGTTCATCACACCGGCCTTTGACTTTGTGGCCCCTGGTGCCGTTGCCACTGCTACCGTTGCTGCTGCTGCTGCTGCTGCTCGCGGCGGCGACGTGGTTCCACTCGCGCTACAGATGCTGCCGAGATTGCTTCCCTCAGAGGCGATCGCGGTCGAACCTCCGTTTGTGGAGGATGACGTCATGGAACTCCGTTTGTCCTCGGTCTCCGCCATCGCCACCGCCGGCGGTAACGTCGCCGCCATGCTGCCCCTCCGGCATTCTTCTTGTTGGCCTCTAGCGGTTGCATCGTCGCCGTAAGTCATCGACTCCGTCATCATCATGGTCGCAGGCGACGGAGTCGCCTTCTGGGGCAAACACGACCCTCTCCTTGACCGTGCAGCGAAGCCCGGCAATGACTCCTCCCGCTTCCCCTCTGCAGGTCGCCTGACGCCGCTACCGTTACAGTTACTATCAGCGCTACCGGCGGCACTATCCGCAGGGCCGTCGGAGCACCTGGTCGACGAGAAAACTTGTCCTTGTCCTTTTCGGCCTTGTCCAGCGACCTCGGGCGCGGCGCTAGCGGGTAATGCCGGCTCTGCTGCTGATGAGGAACGGCCGGAACCTCGTCGCGATTCTCTCTTCGTCCACCCCTGTGCGGTCAAGCCAAGTGTTCGGCGTGCGCATATAGGTAAGAAGAGCGGCATCGGCGACTTCGGGTACACACTTCAAGCACAGCGGCTGTGCATAGACATGGCTGCTGATCGATTGCTACGCCACCTCCTTGCTCAGTTCAGCGGCAGTTGTATGTACACGCATAACGAAGCCAAGCGACTGTACGTACGTACGTGAATTAGGAACACTAACCCCAAGCGAAGGAAAGACCCCAACACGTTCGTTCGAGGTGCTACGGCAGCAAAAACAAACAAACGGTCTTGAGAATGACTGCATACATACCTGGCTAAGCTCAGGCGGAGGTTCGAGTGCTCCGTCGGGCACACAATCTCCGGAGATCTTGCTGCCTGGAAAAGGCCAAACCAAAATCCGCGCGTTGCTGCAGATGACCTGTAATGTGACCCACACGCGTGTAGTTTTGTACCAACATCATGCCGAACCGGGTGGGTGTGATTGGGCATGATCATCAAAATGTCACTAATTTGTGCCGCGTGTGAGAACAAAACGCGTGAGAGCTGCGTGCGCATGCATCGCAGAGAAGCGTCGCCGAATTTTCATTTCTTCTTTGACTTTCCGATGCTTTCTACCATACGTCTTCAATGCTCTTCAGGCGCGAAGAGAGATATGAGAACACATTCAACTTGCAACATTCAACAGAGGTGCGCTATGGAAGATGGACACGACGCTTATGCACAAATGTTAAACTACTAAAGACCGACTGCTTTTTCCTCCGCGGACTATTTACACCAACCGATCAACCTCCACACGAAATGTCGTTCACCACTGCTTGATACTTGGCCGGTGATTGCCGGATTGTACTATCCAGTAACAGAAGACGAAATCAAAATAAATTACACGCCAAGCCCCCCTTAAGTTGGCACACCTCCGTCCCGCATCGTCGCTCGTATACGTCCAGCGCGAAGTTCTCATTTCGAGTGCCGAACTGCGTGTTGATGTCTTTGAGAAGGTCGTTCTCGAGCTCTTTCGCCTCTTCCTTGGACAGCTTCTTCTTCACCTCCGCTTCCTTCAGGAGGGACCGGGCCTAACGCGTCCAGGTGTAGACACACGTGACGGCCACGGGGGGGGGGGG